CCCCAAACCCCCAAAACCCCAAAACCCCAAAACCCCTATAATTTTGCAATATATTGATATAATAAAAATAAATCATATGAATAACGAGGATAATCAAGAGGAGTTGGCTCCTCAACTCTCTGAGATAGAACAAAAGATGCAGACTATTTATGCAAAAGCTGTTAAAGACGAAGACCTTCGTAATATAGTAACCCATGAGATCGAAAACCACAGTAAGAAATTTAGTAAATAAAATTGCTGACCAAGAAGGCCTCTTCTCGCATGACACTGAGGAGATGGATCTGAAACCGTTGATTAGAAAATGGAGAGGGACGTTTATGAAGGATGAAATCAAGAACTACGCCCTGAATCATCTTTATGTAACCGATCCTACTATGAACAAGAAGGACTTGCAGAGAAATTTGAAGATCCTCAATGATAACATCGATGTGATGGGTACAACTGATGGCTTTCAGAAGATAGAGAAGCAAATCGGGCTCGATGATAAGATCTTACAGAAGTCATCTACTGTAAGCGCGCTCAAACCAATGAAAGATCTTGATCCTTTCCTTGAGAAGAAAGAGACATATGAACAGAAGAAACAGAAATTAGATGAAGAAAGAGATAGACAACTTGCCCAAGTAGAGGATCTTATGAGTAAGCTCAAGGAGAGGAAAGAAAAGAGGAGAGAGAAAATGACCAAGCTACGCCAAAAGCGTAAAGCTAAAAGAAACAAAAAACAAGAAGAAGAGCTTCAAAAGCTCGAGCAAGAAGAGGAAGAAGAAAAGACTAATCACGAACAGAAGGTCAAAGAACTTGAAGAAAAGATCCAGAATATAGAAGCTGAGCGGAAGAGGAAGATTGAAGAGATGAATGCTAATACTAAGAAGATCGAAAAGCCACATTTTAGGAAGATTCAGAAAAATTACACCGACAAAGTCCTAATGCCAAACCTTGAACAGAAAAAGAAAAAGCTAGCCATGATCAGAGACATGCATAAGCCTATCGACATGGATGAGATCTTTGAGCACAAGAAGAAGATGGATGAGATTGCAGAGAAGCACCGCAAAGAATTTGAGATGAACAGGCCCAAGGATGACTTCACTTACAAGAAGTATGAAACAAACTGGCTCAAAAACGTCAAAGAATATGAGTACCAGAACAAAGAAGAAACGGAGAAGAAGGAAGGTGATAAGAAAGAGCTGTATGAGAAAATGAGAAGTTACGGCGACATGGTCAAGGAGATGCACTGGCCAACTGTTTCTAAGAAGAAACAGCTTGAGATGCAACTGCTTAAGCAGAGTCTCAATCATCCTATCAAAAACCGTTTAAACGGGTCTACTTTGAGCTCAAATGCCGGTAATAGAAGATCGACTGAGAATTTATTAAGCCATGGCGGCTTCCAGTCTGATAGAGAGGATGAGCATTCTAATACTGTTAAGAGGAGGAAGATTATCTGGAAAGAGAATCCTATGGTCCCAAAGCCCAAGCCTAAGAAGACAGCACAAGTAGTAGATTGGCTCCTAGAGCGTCGTAAGGCCAGAGATGAGCAAGATAGGGATGGCCCTACATACAAGAAAGATATCGTCAACGACTGGAAGAAAGACATTGAAAAGGCCAATCTTAATCAGAAAGAAAAGTATGAGTACATTAAAGAGAAAACAAGACAGCTCGAAGAGGAAGCTAGAAGAAAAGAAGAGATGGCTGTTCTTGGCCAAGGCGGTGCAATGGATGATAATGACAAGCTGTTGATATTTGAATCTATCAAGGCAAAGCTGAGTCTTATGGAAGAATTTAATTCATAATCTAAGTCAATCAAAATCAATTTTGTTAGTTGATAATGGGGTTTTGGGGTTTTGGGGTTTTGGGGTTTTGGGGTTTTTTGGATTTTAAAAATATTTTGAGTGA